ATAGTATGGATTTTTGCTCGAAACTATTAAACGAATTTTGCATGAATGAAGGCATAGTGATACACCACACTAGTCCCAATGAACTACAATATATTGCAGAGCAGAATGTTACTAGATACGGCCCATAAAATACTCTCTGGTGCTGATATAGCAAGGAGATTTCCAGCGGATGAGCTTAGTACGTTGAGCTACTTGGTGAATATATTCCCATTGACTGCGATTGGATGTCATCAGGACACTAACTTAATTAGAATAAGGGTTGTCACGGTATTACTTTCAACATCCCCAACCATAAATGAGTAATGGTCCTTGTCTCTTTAGTGCCAACTCTAAAATGAAACATACGTCCTAGTACCTAACAGAAGACTAACGAGCAACACACAACCTTACAACGTCCCTTAAAATCTATACCCCAAAAATCATAACCTAATATCTAATATCAAAAAATGTCACACCCCGAAACCTGCCAAAATGGAAGATGACACGGCCGTCCTTCCACCCGAAGAATGCAGCCTGAAGCCACAACCAAAGAATGAACTGCCAAAAGTCTTTACGATATCGCTTTTGCTCTATTGACTACGAACCAAGGAACCTAAAAAGATTGGGAAAGAGAGGGGTGAGCAACCATGGCTCAGTAAATATTGCGTATCTCTTCTAAACAGATCGAGCAGCCACTATGCATATATATAACAAAACCATAAGCTCATACTTTAATCCAAAATATATATATATATATATATATATATATATATATATATATATATATATATATCAAATAGGAATTGTTTCATGTCCACAAAACTTTGTACAAGTCAGAAATACTCATTTAATCACCATCACAAGACAAATATCAATGGTCAAGTCCATTGATCAATCTTTATGAAAAACCACGTCAATGGTCCTTTCATTAACCAATCTCAAATCACACATTAATGGTCTATTCCATTGATGAATCTCATATCACATCACTCGTCTATAGTCCATTTCATCGATCAATCTATTGCTCAATATCAAACCATGGTCACGACACAACAAGACTACCAAGATCCCCCATTAGCAAGGTCTCCACCTACAAAGCTGGTAGCTCGACCCAAAAGGACATCTTAACTTGATATACATACTCACAATCCCCTCATCCGGCTTATAACGATATTGAGCATCAAACAATCATTCTTCAATAATCCACAATACCAAATCCATAAACCATATTTCATAACCCATTTCATAAATCACAATGCGTTTTCCAAACCATTTCATATAATATTTTGTAAATCAAATCATTCGATAGAAATTATTTTTCGTAAAAAATTTATGATATCATTTCATAAACCAAATTCACAAATTGATATGTATAACCTTTTATAACGTTTTTCATAAAACGTTTCTCAAACCATCTTAAAAATCATTCCTTAAACCAATTCGCAACTTAATAAATATATATTCATTCACATTATCTTTCTTAAAACCATTCTCAAATATCAAACGGTAGTAATCTTAAAACCATTCTCAAATATCAAAGGTAGTAATTGCCCGATCCAGATTTTTATGCAACAAACATGCTACAATAACTCGTACGTTACTCAAATCTTTATCACTTTCAAGATATGAGTTTACAAATTCATAGAAGAGATAACACCACTCACCTGGAATGATTAAAAACCAAATAACGTGCTCCCTCGAAGTGACTATATCGTAATCCTAACAATTAAACAAGAATCAACGACAAAACCAAGTAAAATACTATAACAACCAACAGCTAAATGACGCTTAAACGCTAACAAACCAACTCAAAGGTGCCCACAAATCACTCATCCAAAGCGATTATCTAAAACCGTCTGCAACGCGAAGCTTGAGTGCGAAACTTTGTTGCGCCATAACTCTTTCCACCGAACCCTGTTTCAAGCAAGCTTATAGCCAAAAGGAAGATCTTTTGAAGTAGTAGAAGACCCACAACTCAGCCATCCCAAAATTGAGCCAAAAATTGACGAACATGCACCACGCGCTCTACTTCAAATTTTTGTTTCGGGCAAACCGTAAGTCCAAATCGAGATCCGTAAAATCCCACGGCCCCACAACACCCTAAACTACCACTTCCATATATATATATATATGCAAATGAAACAAGCATTACAAATTATGCAAATGAAACAAGCATTACAAATTAATGAGGCAATTGGTAAGTGCTTTGCATTCTTGAATAATTTCATCCTCATCAAGAAGCTCCTTTAAAGTATAATTATCTTTGTCCAGAATAGTCTCCACCTGTGAAAAAAATGTAACCACAAATATTAGGATCTCAAGGTCAGTCTCGCAAAATTTACACTCAAGTCAGGTCCAAGAGGTCCTCGAACTAATCAAATGCAATAACAACATAACGGGATGATTAGAAATTACAGTAGTGACAAAAATCGAAAAGAAGCATTTACCTAGAAAATTTTCTCATCATTTAACTTCTATGGATGCAGAGCGATGGAAATCAATAGGTGATGAGCTGCATACGAAATCAACCGAAGTCGATACAAATTCGCTATACAATCTCTCTCTCTCTCTCTCTCTCTCACACACACACACACACACACACACACACACACACAAACACACGCACGCACGCACGCACGCACACACAGACAGACAAAATTTAAAGGCTGAAACATACTCTTGCATTAACTTTAAGGAACTACGAATGATCTCTTTCTTAAGCTAAGATAACTAAACCCATTTGTCCACTCTAGCTTGGATCCAGAAATGATGGCAACAAACAGAAAGACCAGTAGACAACTGGCAGGAATGGCCACGAACCTCTAACAGAATTTAGACGGATCTCGTCGTTCAAAATCCGCAAAACCCCAAATTATGCCTAAACCCTCAAATATTACTCTAATTAGACGAACGAGGGACACGAATACTTATTGAGCATGGCTTTATGTAGTTGATTCGGCTTGGCGAGGTCTCCATAACTCGAACGTGCTCTTCTTAACAATGATATTTTATTATGGGTATTGCCTAAAGCACTTGTTAAGTTGACTATAATTGGAAGTAACATTTTTTCAAAACGAAAACTACACATTTTAATAAAATCATTTACCTCAAATAGTAAACTTTAAGTTATCAAAGCATATTCAATAAGATTAAATTCTAAGTTTAACATCTTCCTTATATAATTATCATTTTTGTCATGTTAGTGAATCCCGGTTGCGGTTGCGGAGGCAGGCACGCAACAACGAACGGGAGGTTGTAATAATAAATTGTTTTGGTCCCACATCCTAGAAAATTCTACCTTCCAATCATGATGAATGCCATTAATTCAAGAAAAAATAGTAGTTAGTGGGAACTAACTTTCTCTAATCTATACACATTAATCTAAACTTATATTAACCAATCAATGCACTTCATCGACGAGAGAACTCCGAAAAAAAAAAGTCGACTTTCACCCTGAACTTTTAGGTAGAGTGAAATCCCGAGTCAACTTCATATCTAATCGCACGTATGTATTGATTAATGAGAGAAATCAACTAGGAAAAAATAAAAATAAAACATGGCGTCATCACTTCCGTAATATAAAAGCTAAACATATTAATTTAAAATAGACAAAAGGGATCGATCGACGTCACGTTCTAATCATGAAAGTAGACCGTCGCCGGCGATTTTAACTTCATCCATGTATTCGGAACCCTAAATAAAATACAATAAAGAGAATGATGTACACTTTTAAGACTCATTTATTCGCAAAAAATCTAATAATGATTGATCATTCGTTTCGCTTGACATAATTAGTCATTAAAAAATATTATCATTATCGATAATAATTTATGTTTAAATATTTTTGTGAACGATGAAAAACAATAGAGAGAATGATGTACCCTTTTAAGACTATTTTTATTTTGCGAAAGATGAATGATTCGAAAATTAATTTCGTAAAAATGATTGATCGTTCGTTTCGCTTGATATAATTAGTTGATAAAAAATATTTTTATTATCAATAATAACTTATGTTTGAATATTTTCGTGAACGATGAAAATATCATTCACTCATTCATTTTTTTGTAAACGATACGAGCAATTATTTTTAGGAATATATTCTTCAAATAATTTATTTTCCGGGAAAACACGCGCAACCTAACCTAATTTTATATTCTACACGCCGACACAGATGAGCTAATAATAATCTCCAGCACGAAACGATAAGCCCGATGATGTTGCTGTTCTTCCTATTTAGTTGGTGTACAACGATGCCTCACCAGAAGAGAAAATGGCATTACTCTACTTTCGTTCATTTGTTGATCAATTATTGGGTTTGTCTTAATCTTCTGACACGTGGTGTGGTTTGTATGTAGACGCATTGAGCTGTTACATTATAATAAATAGCTAAAAATCCAATTTTCATGATTAAAAAAAATCTCTTAATCGAATCAATAAGTGCAAAATTTTTGGCGAGCGAGTGCTTAAAGATTTGTTAACGCATGGTATTAGGGGATATGACACGAATAGTACCTGAACTTTGGTCCAATATACCATATGATCCTTGAAAGTTTAATTTGTTCAACGTAGTCAATGAACTTTAATTCAATGTGCAATGTGATCCCTAAATTTTTAGTTTATTTAATGTAGTCCTTAAAATTTTGGTGGTACATGTTCAATTTGGTCCATGGACTATATGAAAATATTCAATGTAGTCATTCTATTGAAGTAAGTTCAGGAACTATATTGAACGTGTACTAAAAATCCGGGGATCACATTGAATATTAAGCTTAAATTCATGGACTACATTGAATAAATTAAAAATTTAAAGATCACATTACATGTTTTGTCGAAATTCTGGACTGTTTGCGTCATTATCCTTTTTTTTTCAAATTCACACATATCCTTCGTAATGTAAATCGAAATCCATGGTGACCTTCGCTTCTTGCGACGTATGGCATGCGCCCGCCTTGCCGTCCGAGCTTTAACCCTAATGGGGCTTTAAAAAGCATGAAAAAAACACGACGAAAACGACAATACAAAGGGCCTCAAAACAGACTAAAATATTATCAAAAGCTTGATTTCAAATAAGAAGTCCCAAACAAGGACCTCATATTTTACGACGTAACTTTCATGCAAACCAAAAACCTCTCTCCTTGCGCTTGCACGAACACTGTATTGTACACACACCCCTCATCCGCCATGAAGGTCGCACTCTCGGAGGAGCATCACGGCGATAAGAACGCGCCGCAGCAAAGCGCCGCCGTTAACTTCAGGAGGGCATTGACGGTCGCTCCGACCACGATTCTTCTAGCCGCAATCCCTCTGTGGCTCCTCCTAGTGAGCTCGCCCGTCCAACCTCGAGATTATCCTCTGGCACGGCCGATAGAGGGCAAAAGCAGCGGCCCCAAGGGCACGGACGCGGCGGCAGGAGCAGCGGTGCCGGTGGTGAGGGAGAAGAAGTGTGACGTGTTTAAGGGGAAATGGGTGTACCGCCCGGACGCGACGGCATACTACACGAACGAGACCTGCTACGCGATAAGCGACCAGCAGAACTGCATGAAGTTCGGGAGGCCCGACACGGAGTTCTTGAAGTGGCGGTGGGAGCCGGACGGGTGCGACCTCCCGCCTTTCGACGCGTCGGAGTTCATGGAGATGGTGAGGGGGAAGTCGATCGCTTTCGTCGGTGACTCTGTGGCGAGGAACCACATGCAGTCCTTGCTGTGTCTCTTGTCTAGCGTAAGTGCTCCATCTAGTTATATTTGACTAAATTATTCTATTAGCTTCCAATGTTTCAATTGCCTTTTCTTTCCCAAAGAGTTAAGAGGCAGAGAAATGTGCAAGTCAATATGAGCTGTTCTTCGAATTACCTTCTTTTATTTATTTATTTTTTTGGAAATTTAAGAGCAGAAAATCATATGGCCACATATGCCGTCCTCCTAATTATTGTTCTAAAAGGGACACACGAGAGAACAGAACAAGGACTAGTGATATTTGCGGGAATGTCATTATAATATTTGTCATCTATACCCGAGGAAACTACTTGCCTAGATAGTGATAAGTGTATTTATATCGATCACAATTTTTGTATACGAAGTTTTCTACTAAGGTTGACTTAAGTTATTATCACGAATAGTGTGTTGTAATTTTATGTTTGATCTTATATTCTCTCTCTCGTTTCATATCTTATCGTCTCTGTGTAAAATCATTAGGTTGAGCAACCGGAGGACATCTCTCTGAGGTACTCCACCGACTACAACTTCAAGCGTTGGTACTTCCCCAACCACAACCTAACCCTAGCCACCTTCTGGGCCCCGTTCCTGGTCCGATCCACTGATGCCCGCGGCGGCCAAACCTTCAACGGCGTCCTGAGCCTCCACCTAGATGAGCCCCACCCTTCTTGGTTCTCCGAGATCGGCGCCTTCCACCACGTCATCATCTCAGCGGGTCAATGGTTCTTCCGCCCGCTCGTCTACTACCAGAACGGGCAACTCCTGGGGTGTTCTGCGTGCGGACGGGACAACGTGAGCGAAGTGTCGAGATTCCGGGCATATCAAATGGCGTTTCGTACCACGTTGAAAGCCATTATGGGAACGAAGAACCGCGAGGGCGGCATCACGTTCCTGAGGACGTTCTCGCCCTCGCACTTCGAGAACGGGGAGTGGAACAACGGAGGGAGTTGCACGAGGACGAAACCGTTCACGACCGACGAGAAGAAGCTGGAGGGCTACGACTTGGAGTTCTACTTGGCTCAAGTGGAGGAATTCTTGGAAGCTGAGAGGAGGGCGAGAGAGGAGGGCATGAAGATGAGGCTGCTCGACATGACGCGGGCCATGCTGCTCCGGCCTGACGGACATCCGAACCGCCAGTGCAACTGGCTCAAGAGCAACGTGGCCCAGGCGGATTGTGTGCACTGGTGCTTGCCCGGCCCAATCGATACATGGAACGAACTCTTGTTATATGTGATGAAGTCGGAGCAAGGTGTAAAGTTTACTCAGAGGAAGCTACAAAACGCCCGTAGCTGATGTTTATGTTTATACAATATATAGTGGAACGGAGAAAGCAATCACATGTCAATCACACTTCTTAGCATTTGAAATATGGAATCGGCATTTGCGGTTTTTCCAGCCGAAATTCTTTGGCAAAGCACAGGAAACAGTAAACACCACCGTGAACCTCGAATCACAGCTCCGTTCAGGGCCCGATTCCGCACGCGAACACGACCTTAAAATGAGCTGGTGTACGGGGTGCGCGGTGTGAGAATAGAACTGACGCAGATAGAAGTGATAACTTGGAAAACTCCTCCACGAAAACTCTTCCACAATTCGACTGGAATTCAATTCAATTTCATAATGCCCTGAATACAAAGCTGGGCGTCCTTTAATAAAGATAGGACTCCTAAAGATATCCGAATTAATGAAGATAACATCAAAGCAAATCAAATCTAATCTTATCTAATAAAATTCAAACGAAATATTGATAATTCGAAATTGCCTAAAGTAAAAAAAACTGCCTAATCAGAAAAACTGCCGAGATTTCCGGCGATTACGGCGATCACATTCTTCAAGATAATCACAGGCTAACTATTCTACATCATTCCCTCCCTCTTCGGGAAAACTCGCCCTAGAGTTATGATTAGGATAGATGGGTGTATCGGGAGCATGATACTCAAATAAGTCTGCCACATTAAATGTAGGGGAAATGTTGAGATCACCAGGAAGGTCAACTACATAGGCATTGTCGTTGATCTTCTTCAGGATGCGGCAAGGACCAATCTTCTTGTGCTTCAGTTTATTATAGGTACCTACAGGAAAACGCTCCTTTCTCAGGAAAACCATTACCTCATCGCCTACCTCAAAAATTTTCGAACGTCGCCGTTTGTCAGCATCCTTCTTATACTTTGAATTAGAAACAGCTAATTGACTAGCAACAGCAGCTTAGACTTCATTAATTCTGGTCGCCAAATTCTCCGCTGCGACACTATAGTCAGGAATCTTGAGCAAGGGAACCAAATCCAGAGTATGCTGTGGTGTACGCCCATAAACGACCTTAAAGGGAGATGTACCAGTAGAGCGGTTAACCGAGTTGTTGAAGGCGAACTCAGCAGGACAAGATACCGGTCCCACTGCTTATGCATATCACTGCAGAGGTAGCGAATGATATCTGCTATAGTACGATTCACAACTTCCGTCTGACCATCTGTTTGGGGATGAAAAGAACTACTATACTGTAAATCAGTCCCAAACAAACGCCATAAAGTACGCCAAAAATGGCTCAGAAATTTCGTGTCACGATCGGAAGTGATTGTCTTCGGCACACCATGGAGATGGACTATTTCACGAAAGAATAAACTTGCCACATGCGAAGCATCCGAAGTTTTCTTACAAGGGATGAAGTGCGCCATCTTCGAAAACCAGTCAACCATCACGAAAACAGAATCTAAACTCCGTTGGGTGCGAGGAAGTCCCAACACGAAGTCCATCGATATGTCTACCCAAGGACCCGAAGGAATAGGCAAGGAGGTATAAAGACGAGTGTTCTGAGAGTGGCCCTTAGCGGTTTGACAAATGTAGCATTTACTGACAAATCGCCCCACGTCTCGCTTCAGTTGAGGCCAATAGTACCGCTCCTCCACCAAGGCTACAGTTTTATCTCGCCTCAAATGTCCTCCGAGAGTACCACCAAGAAGCTCTCGAATGAGTTGTTCACGCAAGGAACCACGAGGAATGCATAATCTATTGCCAAAGAACAAGAATTTTTCTTGAATTATCATGTCGCCATGACAACCTGTTTCAGAACACTTCTCCCATATCTCACCAAAATCATCATCCTCAGGATAAAAAGAACATAGGTGATCAAAATCGACAACATCAGTGCACATGGTCACGAGTGTCGTAGCACGTCGACTTAGCCCATCTGCCACTTTATTTAAATGGCTTACTTTATGACGAAGCACAAAATTAAATTGCTCCAGAAAAGAAACCCATCGTGCATGCATTCGATTTAAGTGCTTCTGACTCTTGATATATTTAAGAGCCTGATGATCGGTGTTAAGAACAAATTCCTGTTGATAAAGATAGGACTGCTAATGCTTTATAGCTCGCACGACAGCATAATATTCCTGCTCATACGTCGACCAATGCCGGCGAACTTCATTAAGTTTTTCGCTAAAGAAGGCTATAGGCTTACCTTCTTGGGAAAGGACAGCGCCAATCCCGACGCCGGAAGCATCACAGTCCAGCTCGAACACTTTCTCAAAATCAGGGAGCATCAATACCGACACCGTGGAGAGCTTTTCTTTTATAAGAGCAAAACTGGCTGAAGCTTCATCTCCCCAATGGAATTTGCCCTTCTTTAAACAGTCAGTGATCGGGGCCATAATAGTACTGAAATCTCGAATGAAACGCCTATAGAATGTTGCAAGGCCATGGAAACTTCGAGCCTCGCCAACATTCTTTGGAACTGGCCAATTGCGAATCACGGCCACCTTATCTGCATCAACGTGAAGTCCATCCGCGCCAACAACAAAACCCAAAAACAAGAGGCGTTCTGTCATGAAGCTGCACTTTTTCAGATTAATGAACAATTTATTTTGCTGCAAGGTTAGTAGGACATCTTTCAAGTGCTCCATGTGTTGACGCCCATCCGGACTATATATGAGTATATCATCAAAGAAAACTACCACAAACTTGCCAATAAAAGGTTTGAGAACCTGAGTCATCAAACGCATGAAAGTACTAGGTGCGTTAGTGAGTCCAAACGGCATGACAAGCCATTCGTACAAACCCGTACTTGTCTTGAAGGCCGTTTTCCATTCGTCGCCAGGACGGATGCGAACTTGGTGGTATCCGCTTCAAAGGTCGATCTTCGTAAAAATCCATGATCCAGCAAGTCTGTCTAGCATATCATCAAGTCGTGGAATCAGAAACCTATACTTGACAGTAATCCGGTTAATGGCACGACTGTCGACACACATACGCATGGTGCCTCTTTCTTTGGCGTGAGAAGCGCAGGAACTGCACATGGACTTTTGCTTTCACGCAAGAAACCCTTTCGAAGGAGATCTCCCACCTGCTCCTGTAGAATCTGATTCTCCTTCGGATTCATCCGATAATGCGGCAAATTAGGAAGACTAGCTCCTGGAAGAAAATCAATCTCATGCTGGATATCCCTCAAAGGAGGTAATCCGTCAGGTAAATCCTCAGGCATAACATCACTGAATACCTTTAATAAGGGCTTAAGAATGTCGGGAACACAAACCACAACTTGCTGGTCGCCCTTGTCCACAATCATATACATCCCTTCACGCTTTCGGATGTTCATCATAACCCTTGCATTCTGCTTCTTCACAATCTGAGGGGAATTACTCTTTGGTCTCAAAGTAATTTTAGTCGTTTTCCACACAAAAGAATACGTATTCTCCCTAGCTCGGTGTGTAGCATTAACATCATATTGCCATGGCCGACCCAGTAAAACATGACACGCATCCATCTCCACAACATCACAGACAATAGTATCTTGATATGATTTTTCGATCGAAATAGGTAAATGGCATAATTGGTTTACCTTTAGTTCTGCTGCCTTGCGAATCCATCCAATCGTGTAGGGCGCGGGATGCGGCTCCGTCTTTAGTTGCAAGTGATCCACCAAGGCCTTTGACACTATATTCTCGCAACTTCCGCTGTCAATAATGATATCGCATACTTTGCCATTGACAGTACAGCGAGCGTGGAAAAGTTGATTCCGCTGGGTATCTTCTATCCTCGGAGTAAGCAACAGACGATGCACTACACAATTAACTTGCTCGCCCACTTCATCTTCCACTCTCACTTCTTCCTCATACACATCTTTGTCATGTTCAACGATATTGGCCATTCCACGACGAGGACAATTGCTGGAACGATAGCCCAACTCGTTACACTTGTAGCACCTGATCGGTTGGGGCTTGGCATATGGATTCTGGGTATTCTGATTGGGAGTGCGATTGTTTGCTGCGACTGCTTCCTTAGGCATCCCAGTAGTACCCCCTGGAACTCGGCTCGAATCAGGGGTTTGTTGACTAGAAGAACTTGTAACATCAGGCTGTTTTCCTTTCCCGAATGACCCACGACCCGAATAATTGCTACCATGAGTACTAGGGCTAGTCCTCTCCAATTGCATCTCAATTTTTCGCGCCATATCCTGGGTGTCTTCGACAGAGAATAGTCGATGCAAAGAAACCCGATCCTGGATATTAAGTCGCAAACCATTAATGTACCTAGCAGTTTGTTGTGCCTCGGACTTATCCAGGTTATTGCGAGCGGAGAGTCGAAGGAACTCTTCCGTATAAGCTTGGACCGATCTATTCGATTGTTGGCAATTCTGGAATTGCCGAAATAACAGTTGCTCATAGTCCGTTGGGAGGAACCTCTTCTTCAACTTCTATTTCATCTGACCCCATGATCGAACAGGAGCCTTGCCTTGTCGACGTCGCGTCAATTGAGTCTGTTCCCACCAAGCTGAAGCGCCACCCTTCAACTTGTACGCCACAAGTTTCACTTGGCGATCCTCGTCAATATCCATAACGTCGAAGAATTTCTTGACCTCCCAAAGCCAGTCCAGAAAATCTTCAATATCCAAATTCCCATTGAAAGTAGGGAGATCTATATTTAGTTGATACTGCTCAGGATCTCGTCGATAGCCCCCCTGCCATCAATCCCCACGAACATGCTCCTCTTGGAATCCCCTGTATCGGTGACCACCACGAATCTGCATCTCCTGGAAATCATCGTCTTCATCTTCCGTATCCTCGACATAGTCTTGACGCCTATGTCGGGGAATTCCTCCACGCCTCATAGCATCTTCGGGATCACGAGCGACAGGATTTCGCTCGGCTGGAAGAACACCAGGCGCATGGTTTGTGGACAAACGTTGGATGGCATCAAGGATCTCTTGAAACCTCCGATCGGTTTGATCCATGAACTGATTGAACTCAGCCCGCGTAATAGGCTCGTTCTCACGGCCCTCAGCAGCGGGGAGATTGACATTCACGTTATTCACCATCGTCACAGGAGAAACCTGCTTTGATACCAAATGATGCAGATAGAAGCGATAACTTGAAAAACTCTTCCACGATTCGACTGGAATTCAATTTAATTTCATAATGCCCTGAATACAAAGCTGGACGTCCTTTAATAACGATATGACTCCTAAAGATATCCGAATTAATGAAGATAACATCAAAGCAAATCAAATCTAATCTTATCTAATAAAATTCAAACGAAATATTGATAATTCGAAATTGCCTAAAGTAAAAAAAAATGCCGAGATTTCCGGCGATTACGGCGATCACATTCTTCAAGATAATCATAGGCTAACTGTTCTATATCAAGAACCCGTCGGTGCTGATCCCTTGTCATAGGAGGAGGGGTGCTGCTGCGGAAAAAAGGAGGTTTGCTTGCTTAGGAATGTACAGGCGCAAAAGATTCTTGACTTAGTAGTGTGGAACACACCCGCACATCCATGGACATTCCTTGGCTCCAAAGCCACTCCCACAGAATTTTCACTCGCATCAACTCAATCGTTTGCAAGCCCTCTTGCAGGCCTTACACATCCTCACTCATGCCAGCCTGCTAAAATCGTCAGAAAACCCGAGAGCGACCCCAAGTAGATGAAGAAAGTAGAGTCTGTTCAAGCTAATCCATATAGAAAAACAACTATTCAAAAAGTGATTTTCTGGTTTTAATCAAATTCTCAAATGTTTTGACGATGAACATGGCGGGTGAAAAGGAAGCTTAGAAAAATGAGTCGATGTTCATCGTCAATAACATCGATAAGTTTGGCAACACTTCATCCGAGAGAGCTCAATTAATACATTCATGAAGCCCCTCTTACCTGCCATGTTCGTGTCGGCCACAAAAATGGCACACCCAGGAACACCATATTTAGATTGGAAATACGTAAATGGAGAAGTTATCGATTCGTGCATCTAGTTTGGAATCCATCGAACTTAACGTAGAATTGGTGACGGTTTCCGAACACGAACTCAAGTGCTTCTCTCCTATACCCTTTGCTGGAACACTGGTATAATGAGATTGCCACTCACGAGAAGAGATTCCTCTCTAAATCCGTATGTGAGTCAAATTGTGCATCATCAGATTAGGGGAGGGATTTAAGTGCTATTTATAGAGTTTTCAGTCACGAGCCCTCTCATTACGGGCTGAGCCGTACTCAGCCCACACTAGCCAGCCCCATATTAGATTTATTAAGAACCCATATATCTTACCTTGATTAGATCAAAATAATATAGTTAATCTCAATTAATGAAGTCTACATTAGAAAATTCTTACAGTTCGAGCTTCACTCATGCAGAACGAAGAACTAAGAACAATCCCATATCATGTGAACTTTGAAGTCCATCAATCCACTGGATTCTTTGCACATAAACTGAATCCAAAGGACCAAAAATGGTGGCTTGCAATCGAAATAAGATGTTCAACGAGCACATCGTGAAGGTTGAGGCATAATTAACTCGATCACTACACATGATGGCTATTTAAATTGGAGAGCGACTTCTTTCATATTCTCGTATTATCCATCATAAACTGTCGGTTCATGAAGATGTGTGGCTGGAAGTCGAACAAGCCAACATCGAATTGGGTCGTACTCGAGAACGACCGAATCGATCGACTGATTGTGCAGGCAGTAACTGTCCATTCAAGAAATGATGCCTAACAATGGATGATTTGGTTGCACTAGCATGTGCGGTATGTGATTTCTTAGCACACCACTAGAGAGACAATGAAGGTACTAACAAAATGTTACAGACCATGTAATGCCAAAGTTAATGCCCTAACGAAGTAATTGTAATAAATCCAGTGTCCCCATGTATACGAGAAAAGTAATAGTTACCGTGAACAACATTTCTTTAATCCGTATATATTATTCTAAACTTGCATCCACCAATCAATGCACTTCATTAACGAGAGAACTTTGAAGAGAAGTCAACTTTGACCCTTAAGTTTTCGGAAGAGTAGAATGCCAAGTCAACTTCATCCTTAATAGTACATATGCATTAATTGATGAGAGAAATCATTTAAGAAAAGAAAAAGAGATATATAGACCGGAAGTCATAAAACTTGTCACGAAAGTGTAATAAAGTTCTAAAATTTTTAAAAAATGCATTCAAGTCTTAAAACTTGTTACGAAAGTATAATTGAATCTTAAAACTTTCAAAAAGTATAATCGAGTCTTAAAACTTTCAAAAAGTGTAATCGCGTCCTAAAACTTGTCGCGAAAATGCAACCGAATTCTAAAACTGTCACAAAGTGCAATGAACAGAATGACTTGATTGGGCCAATTTGACAAGAATTAGGTGAGAGTTTTAGTATTCAATTATACTTTCGTGACAAGTTTTAAAAAATTACACTTTTGAAAGTTTTGGAGTTATGAACTTTCGTAACAAATTTTAAAACTTCTAATGCACCTATCCAGAAGAAAAAAAATTTAAATACCATGTCATCATTTTCATATATCTTTATATATGTAATCGATTAATGTCATTTACTATTTATGAATGCAGAATTCGAACCCTAAATAGAATACAATGAAGAGAAAATGGCATTGCTTTACTTCCTATAATCTACATATCAATTATTGGCTTGGTCTTATTCTACTACTTAATTTGTGTACAGCGACGTGTGACGATAAGCCTGTGGTGTAGTTTATATCTAGAAGCAACGAGCTATTACATTATATTCTATAGTTCAACAAAATTTAATTTTCATGATGAGAAGATCTCTCTAGGTATAACCCTCAAGTTTGTTCTAATAAAAATAAATGTAGAATTTGGGCGCGTGATTACAAGATTTGTCGGTGTATGATTCTTTATAAATATATACGTATATCTCTCGTAATGTAAATCGAATCTACGATCGTCCCTTCTTGAGATGTCTATGTCATGCTACCCTAATGGGGCTTTAAATATAATTAAAGAAGCGGTCCCAAAAGACTAAAATATTATCAAATGCTTGATTCCAAACAAGAGGTCCTAAAACGAGGACCTCATATTTCACGACGTAACTTTCATGCACGCCAGAAACCTCTCTCCTTGCGCTTGCACGAACACTGTACACACATACCTCATCCGTCATGACGGTCGCACTCTCGGAGGAGCATCACGGCAATAAGAAGGCGGTGCAGCAAAGTGCCACCGTTAACTTCAGGAGGGTGTTGGCGCTCGCTCCGACCACGATTCTTCTCACCGTGATCCCTCTGTGGCTCCTCTTCGTGAGCTCGCCCGTCCAGCCTCGAGATTATCCTCCGGCATGTTCAATAGAGGACAAAAATGGTGGCCATGAGGGCAAGGATGAGGCAGCAGTAGTGCCGGTGCCGGTGCCGGTGGTAAGGGAGAAGAAGTGCGACGTGTTTAAGGGGAAATGGGTGTACCGCCCGGACACGCCGACGTACTACACGAACGAGACTTGCTACGAGATAAGCGACCAGCAGAACTGCATGAAGTTCGGGAGGCCCGACACGGAGTTCTTGAAGTGGCGGTGGCAGCCGGATGGGTGCGAGCTCCCGCCGTTCGACGCGGCCGAGTTCATGGAGATGGCGAGGGGGAAGTCGATCGCCTTCGTCGGCGACTCTCTGGGGAGGAACCACATGCAGTCCTTGCTGTGCCTCTTGTCCAGCGTAAGTGCTCGATCTAGTTATATATGACTAGTTTATTCTATTGGCCACAAACGAATCACCTTCTCTAATAAAAAAACGGGAGAAACTACTAATGATCGACCATGTTTATCATGTGATTATTGACGCGATGAGCCTAAGCCAATGAGTCTTCGTCTACATAATTAAGTTTAGTTTTATGTTGATTTGGCGATTACTCCGGTATGGCCATGAACTTGCGATGTTTCAATTGTTTTCTTTCCCAAAGAGTTGAGAGGCAGAGAAATGTGCAAGTCAAATATGAGCTGTTCTTAGAATGACCCCCTTTTTTATTTTTTTATTTTTGGAAATTTGAGAGGAGAAAATCATAAGGAAAATTGTCCAAAGAGTACTAAATTTATTGCATTTTTGTCAATTCATTTCTAAACTTTTTAATTTTGCAAATATTTTTTTGTCGAAATTTTTTTCAGTTGAAGCCTAAACTTTTTCACGTTTTGCTAATTGAATCCATTCGGCTAATTTAGGTCTGAAATCGCTGACGTGATAGTTCAATCAGAGTTGGCTGTCCTATATGGCACGATCGGTACTGATGTGGATAGATTTTAATAATTGTAATTTTTTTTTATTTCTTCTTTTTGTTTTTCTCTCTCTTTCTTTGGTTCACCCTCGCCGGCCTCAGTGAGGGGCCACAACCCCTTGCTCACAATAGGCGAGGGTTTTGTGGCCCTCTCCCAGGGGCCGACAAGGGTTGGCAGAGGTCGCCGGCCCTCAACAAGTGGCTAGCGAGGCTGCCGGCCCTTTGAACTAAAAAAGAAAAATAAAAGAAAAGAAAAGAATAGGAAAAGAAAAATAATTTTTTAAAAAAAATATTAAAATATTATTATAATTGTCTATGTTAGCGCCGACCATACCACGTAAGACGACCAGTGTCCATATCAGCAATTTCCTATCAAAATTTGTCGGATAGACTCAATTGACAAATCGTGAAAAAGTTTAGGATTCAATGGGCAAAATTAAAAGGTTTATGACTGAATTGGTAAAATTGCAATAGGATTATGATTTTTTTGAAAATTTTCCCGAAAATCATATATCGACAAATTCCTTTCTCCTAATTATTGTTCTAAAAAGTTCAAAAGAGAGAAGTAAACAAGGACTAATGATTTTTGCGGGAATGTCATTATAATTTTATCCTCTATACCCAAGGAAATAAGTGTATTCATATCGATCATAATTTTTATATACGAAGTTTTCTACTAAGGTTGACTTAAGTTATTATCATGAATAATGTGTTGTAATTTTATTTTTGATCTATCGTCTCTGTGTAAAATCATTAGGTTGACCAACCGGAGGACATCTCTCTGAGGTACTCCACCGACTACAACTTCAAGCGATGGTACTTCCCAAACCACAACCTAACCCTAGCCACCTTCTGGGCCCCATTCCTGGTCCGCACCACCGACGCCGGTGGCGGCCAAACCCTCAACGGTGTCCTGAGCCTCCACCTAGATGAGCCCCACCCTGCTTGGTCGTCCGAGATCGGTGCCTTCCACCACGTCATCGTCTCAGCGGGCCAGTGGTTCTTCCGCGCCCTCGTCTACTACCAGAACGGTCGACTCCTGGGCTGTTCTGCGTGCGGACGGGACAACATGACCGAGGTGTCTAGATTCCGGGCATATCGAACCGCGTTACGTACCACGCTGAATGCCATCATGGGAATGAAGAACCGCGAGGGCGGCATCACATTCCTGAGGACGTTCTCGCCGGCACACTTCGAGAATGGGGATTGGACCGACGGAGGGAGTTGCACGAGGACGAGGCCGTTCAAGACCGACGAGAAGAAGCTGGAGGGCTACGACTTGGAGTTCTACTTGGCTCAAGTGGAGGAATTCTTGGAAGCTGAGAGGAGGGCGAGAGAGGAGGGCATGAAGATTAGGCTGCTCGACACGACGCGGTCCATGCTGCTCAGGCCCGACGGACATCCGAACCGCCAGTGCAACTGGCCCAAGAGCAATGTCGGCCGGGCGGATTGCGTGCACTGGTGCTTGCCCGGCCCGATTGATACGTGGAACGAGTTCTTGTTTCATGTGATGAAGTCGGAGAAAGGTGTAAAGTTTACTCAAAGGAAGCTACAGAGTGCGTAACTGATGTTTATGTTTGTACAACATCTAGAGGAATAAAAAAAGCAATCGCATGTCAATAACATTTCTTATCGTTTGAAAAATGGAATGGGCATTTTCTGTTTTTCCAGCCGAAAATTCTTCGGCAAAGCACGGGAAATGCCACGGCGAACCCCGAATCGCAGTTCCGTTTGGGGCCAGATTCCTCGCATTCGAACACACGACCTTAAAATGAGCTGTGTGAGAATGAAACCCGCCGATGCTGATATCCCTCGTCACAGGAGGAGGGGTGCTGCTGCGGAAAAAGGGAGGTTTGCTTGCTTTGGAATGTACAGAGGCGCGAAAGATCCTGAATGAAGTTTCGATTGCTTGACATAGCGGCGTCGAACAGGGGTGCACATCGATGGACATTGGCCACCTCGTGCGGATGATTAAGGAATGCTTTTGCCAGTTGCGCGGTCCCATCGGCACTTGGGACCCGACACTTTGCTTCACATCTTGTTAAGGAATTAACTTTGTTTTCATGTAGTCCTGGATAGTGTCCATATGCAGCACCTGTGATTTGTAAAGAGGAACTCTCTCTCTCTTTTCTCTTTTTTCGGATGGGGCCTAATCATTCCTCAGTTTGAAAGATCGAATACTCGATCGAACCAGAAGAATTTTTAATGACAAGCGAAACGGCGCGCCGTTGTCGTGCGACCCACGGCATAGTCATATGCTTGTCTCTTTATGGAGGCCTTACACATCCTCACCCCCATGCCAGCCTGCTGAAATCATGAGAAAACCCGCGAGTGACCTCAAGTAGACGAAGAAAGTAGAGTCTGTTCATGTCGACCATATTAGAAAATCGACAACTCAAAAAAGTGAAACAGTGATTTTTCTGGTTTTGATCAATTTTTCAAATGTTTTGACGACAAACATGGCGGGTGAAAACGAAGCTTAGAAAATGAGTCGATGTTCAACGTCATTAACACTGAAAAGCTAGGTGACACTTCATCCCAGAGAGCTCAATTAATAGATTCATGAACCCCCTCTTACGTGCCATGTTCGAGCTTCACTCATGCAGAACTAAGAGCTACGAACAATCCCATAGTAAGTGAACTTTGAAGTCCAATAGTCCACCGGATTCTTTGCACATAAACTGAATCCAAACGACCAAAAATGGGGGCTTGCAATAGAAATAAGATGTTGAACGAGCACGTCATGGTGGTTAAGGCATAATTAACTCGATCACTACACATGATGGCTAGTTGAATTGGAGAGCGACTTCTTTCAGATTCTATTATTGTCTATCACAAACTTTCGGTTCATGAAGATGTGTGGCTGGAAGTCGAACAAGCTAACATCGAATTGAGTCATACTCGAGAACGTCCGAATCGATCAACTGATTATGCAGGCATTAACCATTCATTCAAGAAATGATGCCTAATAATGGATGATTTGGTTGCACTAGCACCTGCGGTATGTGATTTCTTAGCATACCACAGGTCCACAAGAGGGATAACGGAGGTACCAACAAAATGTTACAGACCATGTAATGCAAAAGTTAATGCCCTATTGAACTAATTGTAATAAAGCCAGTGTCCCCATCTATGTATGCATGTAGGTAGGTATGTATGTATGTATGTATGTATGTGTGTGTGTGTGTGTATATATATAGATCTAGATGCAGGAATAATTTCTTGTACTAGACATTTGCCTCACTCAACCATGAAGCTCCCAGTATCTGAGCTTCACTCAGTAAATAGCCCACCACAGAGGACCACCGGTACCAAGAAGGTACTGATGCTTGCCTCGATGCCGGTTCTCCTAGCTGCGATCCCCCTATATTTGTTCGTCACTGGCCCGCGTCTTGATGTCCCATCATCTCGGGAGTTGGAGATCAGCACCGGCATTTCGAATAGAACAGAGCAAGTGGACAAGAGATGCGATGTATTTAGAGGAAAGTGGGTTCATTACCCGGATGGCGTGTACTACACTGTCGCGACTTGCCCTTCAATCATCGATCAGCGCAACTGCCTGAAGTTGGGGAGGCCCGACACCGAGTTCTTGAAGTGGCGGTGGAAGCCTGATGAATGCGAGCTGCCTCGGTTCGATGCGGGCCAGTTCTTGGAGATGGCTCGAGGGAAATCGCTCGCGTTTGTGGGGGATTCGGTTGGGAGGAACCAAATGCAGTCACTGCTCTGCCTCCTGGCCAATGTAAGTGCTGTCTCAGTGTCCTTAATTACTCAGCTTATGCAGCATTTGCATTTGAGGCCTCTTATGGCTATAGTATTCATTTGCATAGAGAGAGTTAAGCCTCGAATTATTGGCTGAAGCAAGTTAAGTACAAATCAATACTTTATCAAACCGAATTAATGATGTATCAGTAACCAGACAAGGATGCATCCTACCACGTTTTTTATTGAATGATTTGGCATTCCTTTAACTCCTCTGTCTATGAAATGTTTCATGGTTTTGTCTCTCTAAAATGTGGTAGAACTGTTTCATGCTAAATTCTAGTGATATCGCTCTAAAACGGCGACAAAAAGTGAGCCTTCTCATTTACCAAAGTGTGGCGAACGAACAGAGGCCTCTCTCTCATCAATTTGAGAGCTTCTATGGTCCATTGGATGATGCAGAAATCTCTAATATATAAGAAGTTGGTTCTCAGCTTCAAAAGATGATCTTTCAGGTGGAATTTCCTGAGAAAATATCTTACAATTACTCACTAGGCACAGTAATCTTCGAAAGGTGGTACTTCTCAGATCACAAGTTCACACTAGCCACATTCTGGGCTCCATTCTTGGTGAAGTCCAGAGATGCAGACCCAGATGGTCACTCCTTCAACAGCATCATGAGCCTCTACTTAGACGAGCCCGAGCCATCTTGGGTATCCGAGATTGCAAATTTCGACTTTGTCGTCATCTCGGCCGGCCAATGGTTTTTCCGGCCTCTGATGTTCTGCGAAAAGGGTGAAGTCGTTGGTTGCAGCTCTTGCAAGCTGAACAACATCACCGACCTCACCAAGTTTCACGGTTATAGAATGGCCTTTCGAACCGCCTTTAGAGAACTCCTAAGTCAAAAAGCCTATAATGGCATGACGTTTTTGAGGACGTTCTCTCCTGCGCACTTTGAGAACGGCACATGGAACACCGGAGGGAGCTGCACAAGGACGAGGCCGTTCACGAGCGGAGAGGCCAAGATCGAGGGGGAGGATTTGGAGTTCTACTTGACCCAAGTGGAGGAGTTCAGGGCGGCCCAGAGGGAGGGAATCAAGAGGGGCCTGACATTTAGGTTGCTGGACACTACCGAGGCAATGATCCAGAGACCCGATGGGCACCCAGGCCATTTCGGGCGTATGTTGCTGAGAAACGTGACGATGGCCGATTGCGTGCATTGGTGTCTGCCGGGTCCTATCGACTTGTGGAACGAGTTCTTGTTTCACATTATGAGGTCGGAAAGTTGAGAATCTCTTCGGGGGCAGACGCAGAAGAGTGCACGATGAGGGAAAACCGCAGATTGTTTGTTCTAGACGTAGCAGAATATATCCCAACCTATTGTTCTGCATTCATCTTTAAAACCCCTCTGCGATAGTTACACACGACATAACTGGTGTTACGAGAAAATGCAGAACTAAAGCAACGTCCAATTGGACCGAAGAACGATTCTCACTTGTTATTAGAATAAACAGTTTGGTTCATGAAAAAGCCATTGCTCTGAATAGAACAAACCACACAGTCTGTTGTGTGATGCTTGACGAGGAATCGATCTACAGATTTAGTTACGCGCTAACTGACTATTTATTCAACAAATGTTGCCTCGCCAAGGGGAAATTGAACAAGCATGGCGATGGATAAATTGGTTGCACGTGCGGTATATGATCGATGTCTTAACTTAATCATACCTGGGAGAGAGACTCCGAAGCTACCGACCAAATTCTACCCTCTGCGACACAAAATATAGTCCTAACAACTGATTATAGTAATGCCAGTGTCCCTATGCAGGAGTAGTTAATTTCTAGTTCTAAACGTTTGCCTCTCTCAATGGTGAACGTGAAGTGTCCAAAAACCCACCACAGAGCACCATCATCAGCACCAAGAAGGCGCTGTTGCTCGTTGCAACACCGATTCTCCTCGCCGCGATCCCTCTTTATTTGTTCGCCATCAGCTCGCTTCCTGATTTCCAACCGTCTCTGGAGTTGAAAAGAACAGAGCAAGTGGAAAAGAGATGCGATGTGTTTAGAGGAAATTGGATCGATAACCCCAACGGCACGTACTACACCAACGTTACTTGCCCTTTGATCAGCACAACTGTCTAAAGTTTGGGATACCTGGACATTGAGTATTTGAAGGGAAGGTGGAAACCTGAAGGGTGCGAGCTGCCTCAGTTCAACGCGGGCCAGTTCTTGGAGATGGTTCGTCAGGGAAATCGATTGTGTTCGTCGGGGATCCAGTAGGGAGTAACCAAATGCCATCATTGCTATGCCTCCTGGCTGGTGTAAGAGCTCTTCTGGCTAGTGTAAGAGCTCTTCTGGCTAGTACACTCATTTGCATAGTGACTAATGCTTGAAAGATCAGCTTATGCAAGAGGACTAGGTCGCGGTCGACAGTTTTTCACTAATGATGATTCGAATCGAAGCTAATGATGCAGGTCTAGGTTCGGACGCTAGCACATTTACTCTTGGATATGGCATTTCTTAAACTTCTCTAGGAAAAACTTCGTACATTTGTCTATCTAAAATGCAGCAGAAATGAAGACGTCCTTCGTTTCTAATGATGCAGAAATCTAGAGTTGGAAATGGCGATTGATATATTTTGTTGAAAATGCATAATCTCTACGAAATAATGAGACGGTTCACGGGCGACGGGACAAAGCTCGAGGGACATGATTTTGAGTTCTACTCAACCCAAGTAGAGGAGTTCAGGGCGGCTGAAAGGGAGGGAATCGAGAGGGGCTTGACATTTAGACTGCTGGATACCACTGAGGCCATGATCCTTAGACCGATGGACGCCACGACCAACATGACGGTGGCCGATTGCGTGCATTGGAGCATGCCTGGTCCTATCGACATGTGGAACGAGTTCTTGTTCCATGTCATGAAGCCGGAATGCCGAGTATCTCTCTCTCCGGGTCGAAAGAAGAGTGCCTGATAATGATGATGGGGAAAAATCAACCCTCTTCCCCCTCACTTGTACACCAGTAACACACAACATTTCACGTGCAGCAGAACTTCATGCGATAATCCATCCTATATATCAGTAAGACCTACATAGATAACTCTACCAACACGAGTTCTAAAACCCATGCCACCTTCGAATTTGGTAACACCAGTTACTCGAGCTCTTCTCTTCAGTCGACGTTTTCTCGCCGAGCCAAAACGCGAGACCCGCCCCTTTTCCCTCTCAAAAGGAAGTGAAGGAATATACTAAGGATAGGAGTTTGGACATCCTTAACGATTGTACCCGCAGCAAATGTCGTCCAAAAGCCATTCCATTACCTTTTTTGTTTTCATCGAGTCACTCTGCCTTTATCCTAGGAACCAAGTTTTGGCAGGTCCTTACACGGCTCTTTCCTCTTTTGTCTGCATATCCCCATCTTTTTTCCCAACCTTCCACACCATCTTCCATGACTTCACCTTCACGAGACCTTTCGAAACGACCCCTCTCTCTCTCTCTCTGTGTCCCTTCCTTGCCTCTGAAGAATTCCAGGAGTTCCCCTGCATTGATCCTTTGCTTCCAGTTCCCACTTCCACATTCCCCAAATCCTTTTTAAATTTGCCTTCCCAGTCCCTTCACCAACTTCACTTCCATTCCAATCCAATCCAATCTCTCTCTCCCTCCCTCCCTCCATTCGAAAAGACAAGAAAAACATCGACATCAACTCACCAACTCCATTTCCATCGTCATCATCCTCGTCCTTGTCGTTGTGCTCATCCTAAGTCTTCATCGAATTTCTTCGGGTGGGGTAAATGTCACGATCCCTTTTCAATCCCGTTAGACCCTTCGAATTGGAACCGAGAAAAAAAGCCCCGCGTGAAATCAATTCCTGGAGATTCGATCGCGACCCGACGGAAGACGATCAAAACCTCGAAGAGTTTTCGACTCCCTGAGGTTTGATTTTCCTAGTTCACTGTAATAATCCACTTCCTTCCTTGTTCTCCTCTTCCTCTGGCGGGTCATCATCAATTGAAGAAAAAAAAGAAAAGAAAGGAGGAGAGAAAAATTCTGGTAAACGCGCGTAACGAAACCGACAACCACCAAACAAAATAATCTAATTCAATTTAATTTAATTTAATAAAATAATGGTGAAGAAATTGCTGCGAAGGGTCTCAACCTTCGTCACTAAGCCTTTCCGCAAACGCCGCCGTCGTCCTCCTCCTCCTCCTCCGCCCGCCCCGTATATTCCCCCTCCTCCCCCTCCTCCTCCTCCTCCGCCGCCGCCATCCACCCCGCCGCCGCCCCCGCCGCCGCCGCCGATGTCTCCGCCGAAGCCCAAGTTCCCCTTCGTCTTCCCGCGCGGCGAGTCCACCGTCCTCCCCGACCCGTCCCCCTTCTTCTCGCCGGGCCTCCTCGCCGCCCCGCTCCCGACCAACTCCTTCTTCCAGAACTTCGCCCTCAACAACGGCGACCAGGCCGAGTACGTCCACCCCTACCTCGTCAAGCCCTCCCCGTCCTCCGTCTCCGTCTCGTTCCCTACGCGCTTCGCCGGCCCCGCCTTCCTGTACCAGGTCTTCAACGCCGACCTCACCGTCTCCGCCACCCTCTCCGGCGGCGGCTCGGAGGCGCCGCGGCACGTGATCTCGTCGTACAGCGACCTCGGCGTGACGCTGGACTTCGCGGCGTCGGACCTGAGGTTCGTCCTCGTCCGGGGGAGCCCCTACGTGACCTGCCTGGTCAACAGCGGCGCGGAGGTCGCGATCTCCACGATCCACGCCATCCTCTCGCTCTCTTCGAACAGCAGCCGCACCAAGCACACCGTGAAGCTCAACAACAACCAGACTTGGCTCGTTTACACTTCCTCGCCGATCAGTTTCAGTCAGAGCCTCAATGCGATGACCTCGGGAAGGTTTTCCGGGGTCATCAGGATTGCCTGCTTGCCCGACGGCGGATCATTTAGCGAGGAGGTTTTGGATAGGTTCAGCTCTTCGTATGCTCTGTCTGGCGAGGCAGTGTTGACCAGGCCGTTTTGTTTGGAGTACAAGTGGGAGAAGAGAGGGTGGGGGGATCTGCTCATGCTCGCGCACCCGCTACATGTTCGACTTTTGTCCGGTGAGGACTGTGGTGTCACCGTGCTGGAGGATTTTAAGTATAGGAGCATCGATGGCGACCTTGTTGGTGTGGTTGGAGATTCCTGGGTGTTGAGGTCTGATCCCGTCTCTGTTTCTTGGCATTCGATCAGGGGCGTCAAGGAAGAGTCGTACGAGGAAATTATTCGAGCCCTTTGTAGGGATGTCGAGTCCCTTAATCCAGCTGCAATAACGACGGCCTCGTCTTATTTTTATGGGAAATTGATTGCCAGGGCGGCGAGGCTGGCTTTGATTGCCGAGGAGGTGTGTTATCCTGAAGTCATCCCGGCGATCGGAAAATATCTGAAGAGCACCATAGAGCCATGGTTGGATGGGACTTTTGGTGGTAATGGATTCTTGTATGATGCGAAATGGGGTGGGATTATCACCAAGCTAGGATCGACCAATCCTGGCGAAGATTTTGGCTTCGGGCTGTACAACGATCATCACTATCATTTAGGGTACTTTCTTTATGCAATTGCTGTTCTCGCCAAGATTGATCCTGCATGGGGAAGGAAGTACAGGCCTCAAGCTTATTCACTTATGGCGGATTTCATGAACTTGGGGAGAAGATCGAATTCCAATTATCCGCGTCTGAGGTGCTTTGACCTGTATAAATTGCACTCTTGGGCTGGTGGATTGACTGAATTTGCGGATGGGCGGAATCAGGAGAGCACGAGCGAGGCTGTGAATGCTTACTATTCAGCTGCTTTAATGGGATTGGCCTATGGAGACACCCATCTTGTTGCTGTCGGGTCGACGCTTGCTGCAATGGAAATTCAAGCGGCTCAAATGTGGTGGCATGTTAGAGAAGGTGATAATCTATATGAGGAAGACTTCACTAGGGAGAACAGGGTGGTGGGTGTTCTGTGGTCTAACAAGAGGGACAGTGCTCTTTGGTTCGCTGGAGCCGAGCGCAGAGATTGTAGGCTTGGAATTCAGGTTTTGCCTTTGTTGCCTATCACTGAGGTTCTATTCTCAGATATCCAGTTTGTGAAACAGCTGGTTAATTGGACATACCCAGCTCTGAACAGGGAGGGAATTGAAGGGTGGAAAGGGTTTGTGTATGCCTTGGAAGGGATTTTTGACAAAGGTAGTGCGCTGGAAAAAGTGAGGAGCTTGAGCGGTCATGATGATGGGAACTCTCTTTCGAATCTACTGTGGTGGATTCATAGTAGAGGCGATGAAGAAGAGACAGGATGCAGTGATGGAGGAAAGTACTGTTGGTTTGGTCACTATTGTCACTGAAATTGTTATTTCAGGGACTGATTGAATCGCTTTGGATGAGATATTTTTGTTGCTTATTTTTTTGGAGCATTCATGTACTTATATGACGATCGCTTTGCGCGCTGTGTATCTATTTTCGGAATAAAATGATTCACTAACTCTGCTTCTCTCCGTGATCCTTCAATATTGTCACACGTCGCTACAATTACATTATCCACTTTGCTGAACACTTCCAGTGCTTATGAGATGCTTGCTGATATCAGTTAAATCTCCTGCACTCTGTTTTAGTAAATCAGTGATGAGTTATAGCAGTGTTTTGAAGTTTGTTATCAAACCTTAGATTTTTTAAAAAGGAAGAGTAGGTTCTGACATCGTTGATTCCAGTATTCCATCAGGCTGATACCAAATTAAATTCCTGCTTGTTTAGATGGAAGGAGATTACCAAGTTACACTCCTTCGTGCTGCAAATTATTACCTTGTGGATTTCTGAATTTCAAGGTATGAGAAGAAAGTGGTCTTATGCAGCTCAAGCTTCACAACTTTACACTAAAGTTACTTTCATTGCTGTAATAACCGCAATTAGTTGTAAATCTGCTGGTTCTAGGGGGCCAATAAACAGAGGGCCAACTAAATTATTAGCTTCAGGTCTGCTTGTTCATATTCGATGTGTCTTACAGCTCTCTCAAGTAGATTTTAAGCTAATTTGCTAAATTATTGTTCTAAACATACAAGTATGGATTATCATCTGTGACCTGGGGGTACGTCATACCTCAGGAAACAGTCACGCCTGCGCTTGCTCTCACACAGAGATTTTGTATGTTGTTGATGTTGACCTCTTGAGAGTCACAAAACATGTTCTCTGCCAGCCCGTTTGATTGTCTGACATGGACATTCGGTAGGATATCTTGCCAAAAATCTTCAAGTTATTTGCCAAGCACTAAAGCTATTGCTCTTTAGTTTGCTAGAGGTGCTGGGGCTGGCAGTCTTGATGGGTGCACAGCATTTCGTTTTCATTTCCAACTCTTTGCATTTGTGGAGCTACCTCTCACTCTGTAATTGAAACTTCATGAGCTAAGGACTTCATGATGTTTGTTTTGCCTAGACGGTTTATTATTTATGTGTCTCCAAGAAGGGGCCCTGCCGGATACGGTCTGTCAGTGGAACAATGTCTCTTCTGCTGATATTTGTATAGTGCAGAGCTATCCTGTGCTATGTGAGATCCGTATTTATCAGTGCTCAGCAAGAGAAGTAATTGTCTCGGGCTTGTTTGGTTTCCAACGTTGTTAATCTTGTTGCTCTGGCGAAGTACACAGGATTTATGAAGGCTCGTCTACGGGTTTGAGGGGGCTAATGGACTCGAAGTCATCTTTACTGTATTGGGTGAGGGTCATCTCTTTTGAATTTGTTCTTACAGTTCTCCTTAGTATAACTAGCCAGTACACTAATTTCTCTCACCGTACATACTTGTGTTCCTCTAGGTCAATTATGCCACCTGGTTTTGGACATATGGCGACGCCCTGGGGAAAACAAATCTGCAATCCCTTTAGAGACTTCACCTGACACCAGATTGTAAAGATGAATGGAAAATAACGTCCGCCTGCTTCTTTGGTCTCAGAGCGCAATTCATGGAACATTTCTTTGATATGACATCACCTTAACACGAGAAAGATCGTCGTTAGCATAATAGAAACACTTGCGTACTATTTGACTGGCTCAGAATGAAGCCAATTTCTTAGTGTTTATCTTTATGAACACAAACAGCCTATTGATGATCTCCAGTCCTCAAAACGATTTCATCAAGACGGGGAGATTAGTCCTGCACTGGGCACTCCATTTTGTAGTTCATTGCTTTGACGATCATCTGGTAGAAAGATCTTTAACCCTCGTCACGGTGGAGAAACCGTATGCAAAGATGGTAGTCTCATCAGCTGATCTGGTCGCAGCTGATTATTTTTTAATCTATAGCTGTGAGAAGCCAACCTCTCTCTCACTCCCTCGAAGGGTGCAAATAACATATAGTTAAAGGTAACACGCTGCGCTTGTCAATGCGCAGAAGTCAGCTGAATTCGGTGCTGGCAGCGAAGTTACGCCTTACTCAATCATCATACCGTTCATCCTGGTAAAGCCGGTGAAAATCGGTTAAAATCACGATACAACTCGTTGGCATCATTAGCAATCGCCACAGTGACAGCCGGGCCGATCAAACTGTCTTTAGACTCATAGGGCGGCGAATATTAATCAATCGTGTAAAACCAGACAGCAGAACACGCCACGAGCCGCCACTTTTTCTTCTCTCTCTATAATTTTTTTAATCCGGGCACCCCGTTCTGCATTGTGCTAAGTGAGATTTCGAGATAAGCATATAAAAAACTAAGAACAGGTCTCAACTCCCTAGTTAGTTGAGTCGAGTTAAAGCTCGGAGATTGCATTTGTTTATTCCTTCTCTTGCCTGGCATGGGAAGGGATTCAGAAGCTGTCAAACATGATACCAGGTTGATTAGTTTAGAGAATTAGATCATGATAGCACCCACCTCTGGTTTTCCCTCAGGGAGGGCAAGAGGAACAGGACAAGTTACAACGAATTTTTTATTTCTTGTCTTATAAGACAGCAATTTGAGACCCAGTCTTCCACCCTTAGCTCAACAAACTTTGGTGGCGTTTTCTGCATACATTGTTGCCCTTGATTAAAACATATGGTGAAAGAACCATCTCCCCAAGAAAACAACAAAACTCAGATCTTGTCGACAAACTACTCGGGATTTTCACGGGTCGTATCGCCGGGAATGGTCCTGTAGTATGTCTTCACTCGAGCGCTCAAAGCAGTTCGACGAATTGCTGCCCGGTGCATCGGGCACGGCTTTCGGTTGATTAGTAGTTTGATTTGTTCTTCCGCGTCAGACGAAAACGGGGATTGTTATTGTAATGAGAATGTGCAGATTTGAGCAAGCATGGTGGTGGTTGAAGGATCTGATGAACATGCAAAAAGTCAAACTGGGAAAGCATATGATATTTATTGCAGGGAGCATGGACCAACGTGCCTTTGCTTCACGGTACCATAAAAACTGCGTCAACCATAGAGCGAACCTGCACTGTCTGCTGCACGTATAATTCTATAAGATCCAGTAACATGGATTTGATCTTGTCAAAGCATGCCGTCGGTGTAAATGATTAGTTTTTTTTATTAGATATCTTGATAATTCTATTATGCTCTGATTGAACTATTTTGTTGGTTGATTAATTTCGAGTTGCTTTCTTGAATTTTGAGCGACTTTTGTTTTTGGTCCAACGATTAGATATCGATAAAAACGAAAGTTATTTTGAGTTTTGAAAAATTGTGCCAAAATCTATGCATATCGGCGCACATTTTGTTTGGAATGATTTTGGGTGTTTCATGCGCAAAAAAAAAGTCACAATACATGAGCCATAATATTTAAAAAAATTAAACGGTAACTATATAGGTAAAATGACAACATTGGTAAGAATTTCAAGAAGCACTAGCGAATCACAAAGAAAGATGAGCATTCACGAATTGAATCTCCCCCCATGACGTGAACAACCGGTTTTTACCCCCAATCCAAAGACGGCTAAACACGAAATAGGCAAATTTGCCTGAAAACCGGTGTGGAATTTTTTTTCCTAACGAGTGCCCCTAAAAACACTTATCAAAACCGTAAAATTTCTTTTGGTTGATCGCCTCACAAATGCGCTAAAAGGGCATTCACCAACAGAATTTGCACGAGCATAGTATAGAAGTGTATATGCAAAGAATCCTCGGGAATTTGCGTGAAGATATTCTTTGACTCCCTGTTCTAATTGAATTTTGAAAAAACGTACAGCACCGTCCATGATTTCCTTCCTCTTTTTTCCTAGGATTAATGATCGTGCAATTAGGAACAAAAGGATCCGTAAATCTCGCGGGAAGAGAGAGAGGAAAGAGAGGAGAGAGAGACAACAGCTAGGATAGTTAACAGTGCTTTCGGCTGCCTACGAACATGGCGAGGATTTGACAATCCTTTCCTCTTTCTCCCCCACCTCCATTCCATCCATGTGAACAAGGCTCTGTCCACCCCCCCCCCCCCCGCAAGTCGCCCCCACGTTGGTGTCCGCATGCTTTGAGGCTCCACGATCTGGCCACCATTTCTTTCCCCCTCCTCCGCCCCAAGAAGCTGTCTTGTCTCCTTTGTAACAGCACTGTGATTTCCAAGATTCCACGATTCCTACGCCATAAGTTCTGACCAAAGAACTACCGCAAGGTGAGGCTTTGGTGGGTTTCGGGTTTCTGGGATTTCTCGGGCATCGATTTGGCCGATCTGGGCTCGCTGCATTTGCCCCGTCTCATACCCTTTGGTGTCCTCAGTGGAGTTGCATCTGGATCTTTGCTTGAGCAGTTTCGGGCCATTCATTCTTGAGTTTGGGTAGTTCAAAGGTGCGTGTCTTGATCTGCTTGCTGCTCGGGATTTTCGAGTTTGTTCGTCTGGCTTAAGTCCAAGAAGTGCGTTTCTGGAGAAAAGGGTCGGGAACTGGCGCTTCCGTGGTTGACTTCCGAGGCTGGTTCTTGTGGGGAGTTGAAGGAGCGTAGCTAGATTGTTTGATGCGTTAGTGTTTGTTTAGTTTTGAGTGTGAATATTGGAGCTTTTGCTATTATTGCTGGTCTTGGAAATCTTTGGAGATGGATTAGCACTTCGGACATGTCATTTGTGAGGTGATTCGTTTGCGGAAGATGGCATCAAAATCGCCTTCTCCATCTTCTCCTCCTCCTTCCCTGGCCTCGCCTCCATCCTCCACTACCTCCAATTCTTCAGCTAGTCCGCCGCCCTCGCCGGCGGCGGCAGCATCTCCACCACCTAAGTCTCTTTCCGCGCCACCCCCTTCGCCGCCCCCGTCACCGCCGCCGCCGCCCCCGACAGCACCGGCTTCGCCACCCCCATCACCTCCAGCATCACCCCCGCCGTCGCCCCCGCCGTCGCCTCCGGCCACCCCTCCCCCGGCTGTGAACTCACCACCTCCTCCAAATGTGCCATCACCCCCACCACCGACCGCGGCCGCTCCTCCTCCGGCCCAGGCCCCTCCGACGCCTCTGGCGGGGACCCCGCCGGTTTCCCAACCTCCTCCTAGTCCTCCTCCTCCTCAACCAGTTTCACCTGCAACGAGTCCTCCTTCAACCCCATCGTCAAAATCTCCACCTCCTCCACAAGCGAAGTCACCATCAAGTTCCCATTCGCCTCCACCACCCTCTAGTCCTAAGACTTCTCCACCTCCAACAACAAATTCACCACCGGAGTCCGCGTCACCTCCTTCAGTTCCCTCAGAGTCCGCGTCACCTCCTTCAGTTCCCTCGTCCTCCACTCCTGTGCCGTCACCTCCTTCTCCTCCCAGCAATTCATCAGCAGCCAGAAGTCCGAATTTGTCACCATTACCTTCCATTCCCACTGAAAAGCCTACGGCAAGATCTACTGATGGGACAAATGTAATCGCGAATTCCACATCCACGGACGCAGGGGGACTAAAGACTGGTGGAGCTGTGGCGATTGGCCTAGTGGTTGGATTCCTGGTTCTGAGTCTTCTTGTCATGGCTGTGTGGGTTGCAAAAAAACGGAAGAGACGGGGTGCTCAGTCAAATGTTGGATACAATATGCCTTCTCCCTTTGCCTCCTCCCAAAACTCAGGTAATGCACTAAACAATTAACGGATAAGTTGTGTTCATTGTGTTTAATCTCGCGACTTAATTCATGATGATGTTGTGGTCGGATCTCTCTTTATGCTAAACTAGACCAAGTTGGGTTCCATATCCAGTTGCTAAACAGTTGACATTTCCATAGCTAAAAGTTCACACAAAGGAAAAATTGCAATTTAGTCAGAACTATAACTGGTCTTTACTCTTTTCAACTGAGAATTATGAAAATTGCAGTTTGACTAACGAGAAAGCATCTGTAACTGCATTGTAGACTTATTCCTGGTCAGTTCTAATACTGATCACATTTATGAAGGAAGTAAGTGATCAAACATATCTGGATAGTGTTGTGCCTGGATTAAACCATGTCATATGTTAAATAGCACTTTATGGGAAAAATAATTCAATCCATTATGAAAACGTGTCTGTTATGCTACACTGAAGAGAACAGTAGCTGCACATCCGCCTTACTAATACTAGTTACAGAGATAATTTGATCCCTTCTTTTGAATTGCAGAATCATTATTTTTACAGCCCCGTTCGCCAATGATGCGAGCAGGAAGTGCTTCTGGCAGCAATTTCATGTATTCACCCTCGGAACAAGGAGGCATAAACAACTCGAAGTCATGGTTCACATATGATGAGCTAGCTCATGCGACTGACAATTTTTCAACCCAAAATCTTTTGGGAGAAGGTGGATTTGGTCGTGTATACAAAGGTGCGTTGGTAGATGGAAGAGAAGTTGCAGTGAAGCAGCTTAAGATTGGCAGTGGACAAGGAGAGCGAGAGTTTAGAGCAGAGGTCGAGATTATTAGCAGAGTGCACCACCGTCATTTAGTTTCGTTGGTGGGATACTGTATATCTGAGCAAAATAGGTTGCTCGTCTATGATTATGTTCCAAATGACACCCTTCACTACCATCTCCATGGTAAGACATACTTCTGATTCAGAGTTCAAAGAATTAAGTTTGAATCCTTGTGCTTTGCAATGTTCGTATGCATATGTAGCTCTCAAGTGAGCATAGTAGCACCATGAAACTAATAGCTGTTCTAGTTAGATTCACAGGTTGTGTTTTAGATTATCTAACCACGCCGCCCATTTGTTTCCATTTCAGGAGTTGTCAAATTTTGGCAAATAATGTGTTGATTTACTCCGTTATGATCCTTTTACTTTCTTGAAAGTAGATGATCCACTTGCAAGTGCTCTTTACCATGTTGCTTCTCAAATAGTCATTAAGTTAGTTCAATGACGAGTCGTGCAGCATCATTGTTAATTTGATGGTTTTCCTTACCTTTTCATACCTCTATTTCCTTTAATCTTAGGTGAAGGCCGGCCTGTCATGGATTGGGTGACTAGAGTGAAGGTTGCTGCTGGTGCTGCTCGTGGAATAGCTTACCTGCATGAAGATTGTAATACTCTCTCTCTCTCTCTCTCTTCCCTCAGTTTTTTATTTATTTATTAATTCCCCTCTATTCCTGTCCATGCATACACTTGTTTAAAAATATTTTCCTGCTACTTTAACATGTGATAAGTTAAACATCCATTTGTTATCGTCTTCCCAAGTACTATTGCTCTGACAGAGGTGCGAGAACTACTTTTTAGGGATCGCAATGAGAAGGAAACAGGCAGTAGAACTATTGTATTTGGCAATACTTTCATGCAACATTGAGCTTCATCAATTGATTATTTTGGTTTAATGTCATCTCCTAGCATTGGACTTCATGGAAACAAGATGAAAAGCTTACATATAATTTCCATTTGCCTTCCTTTAGTCAGATTATTGCAGATTTATAATCAGCTGATCTCTCTCTCTCTCTCTCATACAAGGCCATCCTCGTATAATACACCGGGATATAAAATCCTCGAACATCCTTCTTGACAAGAACTTTGAAGCTCAGGTGGGTTATTACTCTGCAAATGAAAGTTCTTTCTCCAAGAAACATTACTCTGTTTTGAGCTGGACTAGTTTTGCCTTGGATTTTGTTTGGCATTTAGCTTTACCAATTTTAGCAAGATGAATTCTCTAACTGCAGGTCTCAGATTTTGGTCTTGCAAAATTAGCTTTGGATTCAAATACGCACATTACAACACGAGTCATGGGGACTTTTGGGTATGTAAATGCTTCCATTCGTCAGTCCATCAAGCAATATTTCATGTCATGTTCACTAGGCTAAAAGTTACTGTTGCTTTCTTTTTCATAATAAAATTACCCCGTCTGAGAGTTCCCTTCTGAAAAAAATTGGAGTTTGTCTTTTTATTTGATTCACAAGTGCATTGATTTGAGAACAAATTCACCATTAAACAGATGTCGTATCAGGTCTATCATGTTGATATGTTTAAATATGCATTAGAGCTTTCTCCACTGTCTTATGGCATGGAGGCTCCAGAGCATGTCGTTAAATCATCTCCTGCATTCTTTCTGATTAAATTCCTTTTAACCTGGCCTGATTAGTTCAATCGGTAATTCAGATACATGGCTCCAGAGTACGCAACTAGTGGAAAGTTGACAGAAAAATCTGATGTTTATTCGTTTGGGGTTGTTCTTTTGGAGCTGATTACTGGACGCAAGCCTGTAGATGCCTCTCAGCCAATTGGTGATGAGAGCCTGGTTGAATGGGTAAGCTTTGGTGAATGTCGATTGATTTTTACTTCCATACTGTTTCTGTGCAAACTTGTCGTTCAGGATGAATCCGCATTCATTCAGAAATTATCCACACATTGTGGTTAGTCACCCTCCTGGCAAGTGTTTGACATGTGTAAAACTGTTTTGCCTGTGGCACCTGTCGACCTTTAGGAAATACTTGGAAGCTTTGGAACTATAATTTAAAAAGCATCACTTTCTGTGCTGATTGTATTCACGAACACGTAACTTCTGTAAATCCTTAGACGACAAATTCATCTGGTTGAACCACATTTTTCAGGCCCGACCGTTACTCACTCAAGCACTTGACGATGAGGACTTCGAGCCATTGGTAGATTCGAAGCTACAAAAACAGTACGTTCAAAGTGAGATGTTCCGAATGATAGAGGCAGCCGCAGCTTGTGTTCGGCATTCGGCCACAAAAAGGCCGCGTATGAGTCAGGTATTCCTTTTTTTCACCTGCCGTAACTTTCATGCTCTCGGTCTATTGCGAAGGTATATGCTAAAATCCAAGCACTCGTTTGGGTCCTTCGTCTTTGGGCAGGTCGTTAGGGCTTTAGATTCATTGGACGAATTGTCAGATCTCAGCAACGGAATGAGACCAGGGCAAAGCGAAATCTACGATACCAGAGAGCAATCCGCGCAGATCAGGATGTTCCAGCGGATGGCATTCGGTAGCCAAGACTATAGCACTGATTTTTTCGACAGAACTCAGAGCAGCTGGAGAAGCCGTGGGTCTGCAGACCAGAGTATGTAGTCGGACTTCACGAGTACCGAAACGAACCCGCCCCTGGGGGTTTGATTCTGAGCCGAGTACAAACAGAATGACCCGTTCCGAGCGATGCTCTATCGTAACAACCCGACGCCGGATTAGGAGCCGTTCATCGCATCTCCCGGGAAACGAGGCAACTCCCTTGTAAAATCTCGCGAACTCCAACATTCTTTTTCCCTGCGCCACGAGGATAGCCGTTTATGCTTAGAGAGTTGTTTGGTTCAGCATTTGATTTAGCAATTGGTTGTATTGTATTCATCTTTGATTCGTGCATATATATATATATATATGAGCTCTTCTGCTGATTCTTGCAATGTGGATAAAGTATCCTCTTTTCCAATCATCCTTGCAGACATGGAAGAGAAAGAGAATGCAATTGGAAATCTAGTGGAGATTCTCCTCCGTTTAGGCCACCAAAATCAATCCCTCCATTTTTCTTTTATTGGCAAAGGAAAACGACAAAAATTGTAAATTATAAATTTTACTATAATTTCTGTTTTTAGACAAGATATTAATAAATCCTCATTTGATGCAACGGATAGCAAATTTTTCTTTTGGCAAAAAAAAAAAAGCAATCTTGGTTTGGTGACAATCGTTTGACTGAAAAAATGCCTCAAGCATCATTGTTATCGAATCATTGACCTTTGACCAAATGAGAATTATAAGCCAAAAAGGAATAAGAAAGGAAAAGTAAAGAGGGAAAAAGAAAATGAGTGATAATGACACAATTGATCCCTGAATTTTGATTTAATATATAACGTGTCAATGATATCATTCCATTAATTCAAATTTAGGGGAGATATTGAACATTTTCATATTGTTCGGGGATTAAATTAAACGTGTTCTAAAAGTTCAATGACCACATTAAACAAATAAAAAATTCAGAGATAACATTGTACATTTGATTACAGATCAAGGATCATATTAAACAAATTAAAATTTCAGGCATCACATTACATACCATTTGTATCATTTTCCCGAAATGAAGTATCGGTAAGAGTCATTTGACTTTGCGAAACGACGACGTTGGCACACAAGTAATACGACGAGGCGTTTCGGGAGCATAGAAGAGACTCCAGGCCCTTAGGGTGCCTGCGTGATCCCCATCTTCTTCTTCGTCGTCGGCGTCGCCATCTTCTTCGATTCGGTTGTCTCTCTCTCCTCTGGGAAGAAAGCCTCTGCGAGAAAACACGCAGAAACTTCTAGAGAGAGAGAGAGAGAGAGAGAGAGAGAGAGAGAGAGGGAGAGGGATGGGGGAAGAGAAGGAGGACCCGCAGAAGCTGAGGAGGATCGCGGCGGCGGCGTACGACTACGAGAACGACCCGCGATGGGCGGATTACTGGTCCAACATCCTCATCCCCCCGCAGATGTCCTCCCGCCCCGACGTCGTCGACCACTACAAGCGCAAGTTCTACCAGCGCTTCATCGTATTCCTCTCCTCTCTTGCCTGCGCTTGCTCGCGATTTGACGTTCTTGATTTCTGTCGAGAGAGAGAGAGAGAGAGAGAGAGAGAGAGAGAGAGAGAGAGAGAGAGAGAGAGAGAGAGACAGAGAGAGAGCGTGGGTGTGTTTGATTTGGAGTTGAGGGATTGGATTGGTCCTGCCGGTGGGATTGGAAGTTCGCGGTAGGTTTTATTGAGTAGATGATGCGGCTGCTTTAGGTTTATTCCGGTCGTTCGAGTCGGCCTCTCGAGCTTGGGAAGGAGGTTCTGCGCGGTTGGATATGTCGGACGTGTTTTGGTTGCTTGTGATTAATTGGATTGAAATCGCGACGCGGCGACTACCGGGTGATTAGGAATTTTAATCTTGAAATGTGGGTGTGCCTTAACCACCTGTTGGTTCTGCATTAAAGGGGGCTCTTTTTGTTGTTAACTTTGTCCGCAATCGTTTGTATTTTGGGAGACTTTTCTGCCCTCCGTTTTAGTGGATTCCTGCGTGAACCCCCTCTTTTGTCGTGAATGGGGGTGTTAATGAGGAAGTTTTTAGATGATTCGGCTTTACCACATCGGCTTTGTGGAGAATTTTGAGAGAAACCAATGAAGCAATGATGGGATATCGTGCTTAGAGTTTGAACGATTTTTTCAGTTGCAGCAATATCAGCTCCTCTGGCTATCGCAGTTTATATTTTGTACGATGACAATTAAGCTCCGTTTGTGCAGGATTCTGATCTCATTGTTGAGCCAATGTCTTCTGGTAGTTCATCTCAGTCAGCAAGGCAATCTACTCCATCCTCAGCTTCATCAACGACCAATGAGCAGCCTCGATCCCGTAGCACTGGTAAAATACATTGACATTGGCCACTTTGATAGGAATGGTGTTGGACGTATCAATGAAATTCTATAAGATGTGCCGACTTTGACACACTACCATGTGCCGATTTGAAATTCGTTTTGATGATTTTGAACCCTATTCTTTGGTTTAGGATCTTCTACCCGAAGCTCTAGTGCATCAGCAACTTCAGCTTCAAATCCAGCTTCTTTGCGCTGGGATCGGCAAACTGTACAATTCTCTGTCAATGCTTGGGTACGATGAGATTTCGTCCATGCTTCATTATGTGCCTATATACGTGTACTTTCCATTGAAGGATACCCTTGTAAAAGCTTTCATGATGTGATATCCAAGAATTAAAAAAATTTGGTCTTACAGGAGCGTGTCAACCAGCTGTTGTAATTGATCTTGCACATGCTGATTGCCATTTTGTGTCATTGTGTGGCAGGTATTCGTGGTGGCTGTACTGGCTATATTCCCATTTGTGCCTCGAAATCTTTCAAATAGGGCATATCGTCTTTCATTTGTGGGCACCGCATGTTCGTCTGTGTATTCTCTGTACTCATTATATGGGGTATGATCAGCCATCCTTTAATCTGCTGATCTAGACTGTTCCTTGTTATGCTCCCATTAATGGTTCACACACATTGCAGAAACCTAGGGCATGGAATATGCAAGCTTTGCAAGTTTACTTTCAAACGATAATAGTGACCAAGGATTTCATCTACTTCATCTACTGCCTGACATTTGTCACTTCGCATCTTTACCTTAAATGTAAGCAGAACTTGGCTTCTAATATTCTATTTTGGTTTTATTGGTCTCCTTCTCTTATGACATTGCTTTTACTCCTCAGTCGCTTTAATTCCCATTATGTGCCGAGCTCTTGAGCATGTGGCCAAGTTTTTAAGGCGTAATTTCAGCCGTTCTTCCTTGTACAGGTAAATGCCGCTTAATTCATGCTAGAATTAGTGGTTGACGAGTAATTTTGATCATTTGGGTTGAAGTGATCTTAATTGTTCGTAGCCTATCATATTTATTACGTTCTTGTCTGTTAATGTTAGTATTAAATTTGTAATGAGTTTGTAATAATTCACATTCTGCCATGATGACTTCTCCTCTTATGTCAAGATCACTGCTAGCATATATTTGCTGCTGGATATCAAAAATTTACGATGATAGACAGTGGAGCTTGGATGGCGTTTCTTTTCTTTTGTTATATTTTTTGGGAAGAGGAGGGGGTAAAGAAATTTTCAACCCTCTTGGTTAAAGTAAAATTTTTTTCCTTTGGAGTGAATATTTTCTGACATGTGAACAAGCGTTTGAATGCCATACAATCACTGCAACAAGGTCATGTGCACTTGTTCTTCTAGTTATCCGAGTTATGTTTACAAGATTACATAAACAATGATTTTGGGCTACTTGCCGTTGACTTTTAATTGCATATTGGGTTCTAAGGCACAATATTATGCTGCCTGCTCTCTCTCTCTGTCTCTCTGCATCTGCACCGTAGTTTGGAAGGGCAGAGTGCATAGAATATCTTGATTCTTCAGTAACAAGCAACTTGCACAAAGTTCCTGTTATGCATGGTTCCTCTTAATTACATTATTTTTCAGACCCTGCTATCGATGTTGTATGAGGGACTCCTTATTTTGCTTATATCTCATTCTGTTTGGATCCATTTTCCCGTTTGCAACTGACTTTACTTTTTCACTTTTCTTGAATAGAAAATACTTGGAAGAGCCTTGTGTATGGGTGGAGTCGAACACAACTACGCTTAGCATATTGTCCTCCCAATCTGAGATTGGAGTTGGCTTTTTGCTACTTATCTCGTTATTATCGTATGTATTATGGAATTTTACATTTTTTAAAGTTCACTGAGCTGCTTGCTTTTCTCACTGTTAATTTGTACAATCACATGACGTTATGTGTTTATGCATCTTCAGGTGGCAGCGCAACATCATACAGACGTTCATGTATTGGCAGGTAGGTCTCATAATTCCTTTTTCTTCTACTTCAGCTGATAAGGGCTAGTCTACTGAGTACCATTTTAGAGGAATATACTGAATGTATGAATTCGCTTATAGTAATTAAATATTGTGCTGCTGAAGAGAGAATGTGGATGACGTGAGACCCTGCTGAAAGAATTATTCATAGAATTACGTGATTAATGGTTTAGAATGTTTATTTTGGCACCAAACGGTCTAATAAGCTTTGCTGGGCTAGTCCAAGAAACTTAGATAGAGGGTGTGATGAATGGACTTTTGTTATTCTGGTACTTGAGAATGAATTTTTCGGTTCCTCCAAACACGTTCTCTCCCTTTTCTGATTTGGTGCCTCAGAAATGGAAGGGGCTTCAGAGAATCAGAAGGCTGCCAACCTACAGATTTTTGAGTTCTGACATGAGGATTTTTCCTTTTATTCCCTTCTGCAGCTTTTAAAGCTTATGTATCACGCCCCTGCAACTGCGGGCTATCATCAAAGTGCGTGGGCTAAGATTGGAAGGAGTGTTAATCCGCTTATTCAGCGCTATGCTCCATTCCTGAACACTCCATTATCTGCTGCTCAGAGATGGTGGTTCAGGTAGTGCTCGAAAGGTAGGAGACTTGGGGAGCCATCTTCTTGCTAGGACTTCTGGTGTCTCGTCGGAGGACACACTGTTAAGTGTCGGAGAAAGCCATCTTAGACTTTAGATGGATGGTAGCTAATCCTTTAAAACCATGTCTCTGTTTTTGATTCTCGATCGGCTCTGGTGGGCCATGACGCCCTGTTTTCTCACCGTTGCCCTCATAGCTTATTTATTAATAGTTTGATCCATCTACAGGACAGATCAAAATGGAGGTTGGAATTTGCCTTGACCACTTTTAAAATGGCACCTTGTCTTTCGTTCTTTGAAATGACTTCTTGGGAATTGGCATGTGCACCTGAGATGAATTCGTGTCCTAGACAAATAACTCCTTGAGTTTACATGTGAATCGTTGGTGTGCTCGTCTATTTTATCATGTTATGCTTTGTTAACGCTGTGCGACAGTGTTGAAAATATTTGTCATCTGCTACAGGTTTTAAAAAGTTTGTTGTGTTTCTTTTGTTTTGCGGGATTGATTACCTTTGTCCACAACGTCTTCTGTTTCATCCATGTTACGTGCATATAAGGAGAGGAAATAGCGGCGAGAGATCGCCATCATCATGAGATGAACTAATCTAGTTTTACATTTTAAGAATCAATCAACAGGGGTTGTGCCCACATGTGAAAACGTTGCTTTAGTGCTGAAGTGTATTTGTTGACGTTGGCCACAATCATATATACTCGGCCATTGAAACCCGACAGAAATTATTATTGGAATGTAATCCGTTTGTTTCGCAAAAAATGAATGATCTGAAAAATATTTTCTTGAAGATTATCGTTTGTATCGCTTATATGAACAAGTGAACGAAATTTTGTTTTATCATTCACAAAATATTTATATATAAATTGTTGCCGTAATAGAAATATGTTTCATTGACTAAAAGTGGACATGGATATCACAACTTGCGAGCGCTCCGAGACATCAATCAAAGCGGACCAAGAAGCAACCTTTTCGTCAATAGGTGCTGCGTGGTCAATAAATAGCCACCTAAATGGGAAGCAAAATGTATTAAGATTCAGTCGCATATTATGTTTTCGTTATACATTATATAAAATATGCTCGAACTCTCTAAACATGTACTTTCTTTCTTTTTATTTGACGTGATGGTTTTCATACAACTTTTCAGTCATAAGAATCGTTGCACTGTAATTCCGAGCGTCTCTATTCGGAGTTGCCTTTTAAGACGAGGACCGCTCTTGGTGAGGTATAATTCTGGTCACTTGATGGTTGGACTCTTGCGTCCCACAATACAAACAACTTGCAATGGCTTTGGAGTAATTTGAATTTGGCAATTGTAATTTGTTGATAATGTGTCGTTGATCCCGATCGCGACATGTGTGGCCTACACTGTATTGGACCTACAAACTTTGTTTTTCTCTATTGACTCGGGACGACTTGGGTTCAACATGCTAATGAGGTCTCAGCACCCCCCACAAATCATCTGATAATGCTAATGGCGTTGTTAGTTATCGCAATGTCTATTATTTGCATCATAATCCTATAACAAAATCGTTACTACATTATATTTTGTGCTTGTGGTTATAGCTGGCCTTTGTAATATTCATTACATGTCTATTGTCATTTATGTGTGATCTAGATTGTACAAAATTTCCTTTAGTTCCTCTTTACTCGCCCCCTTTCTCTCCAAGCACTTTAATTAACATAGTTTGTTTGGCCGACAGAAAGCATGGAATATTGTTTATTTGAGATCAAACGGGCTTGTTTGTTAAAAAGAGGCTGGAGAGGTTTCACCGGTTACAAATACACCTGGAGAGGTCCGAAGTGGTCAGGACTTGCTAGAGTTTTCAAGAGGCTGGATAGAGCGTTGTGTAACGCAGATTGGCGATTGATGTTTCCTAATGCTTTTGTCAAGGTCCTACCGCAAGTTAAATCTAACCACCATCCACTTCTTATCAACCTTAGTGGCGTCACTACTCATAAACGCGCTAATCGACCTTTTCGTTTTGAAGCTGCCTAGATAACTCACTTGAATTCTCTGACTTTGTTAAAGAGAATTGGAGTGTTGACACTACACTTCAAGCCCAATTGGAACAGTTCAAGGGACGCGTACAAGAATGGAATAGGAATACATTCGGACATATCTTCGGACGCAAACGACAGCTCCTTGCTAGAATTGCAGGTATCCAAAGAAAACTGGAACAGGGACACAATCCTTTTCTTGAGAAACTTGAGCAGAAGCTAAAACATGAGTATATGGAAACTTCACTGCAAGAAGAAATTTTTTGGTTCCAAAAGGCCAGGCATAAATTTATCACTTTTGGGGATAGGAACACTCGTTTCTTTCTTACCACAACAATCGTTTGATGAAGAAAGAATGGCATCTTATCCCTAAAGAGCGAGGATGGAAGTTGGATTGACGATCCCACTCAACTGAAGAACTTGGCTATCTCCTATTTTCAGAAGCTTTACACAGAAGAATGTTCACGCACTTCCACGGTGAATTGGCTTGATCGTTGCAACCGTGTTCCCCAAGATGAGATTCAGAGGCTTTCAAAACATCTGAGTAGAGAGGAAATTCAGAATGCATTGTTTGGAATGGGACCGTTTAAAGCACCAGGACCAGATGGATTTCAAGCAATTTTTTATCAGAACCAATGGGCAACAGTGAGCAACTCGGTAAATCTTGAAATTGAGAAACTATGGCTCCGGGATGGAAACCTGGATGGCATCAACCAGACACTTATCACCTTGATCCCTAAAGTTGATAATCCCGATAGATTGGTGCATTTCCGACCCATCAGCCTCTGCAATGTTTCTTACAAAATAATCACTAAGATTATTGTCAACCGATTGAAGGAAGTAATGCCACTTTTGACTTCACCCAATCAAGTAAGCTTTGTTCCAGGTCGCTACATTCAAGATAACATTATCATTGCTCAGGAAATCATTCATTCAATGCGCAAGAGGAGGGGAAAGAAGGGTTACATGCTAGTTAAGATAGATTTAGAGAACGCGTATGATCGACTAAATTGGGATTTCATTTGCGAGACTCTTCAGTTGGCTGGTATCCCTGAATCATTGTTGAATCTTATTATGCGGTGTGTTACAACTAGCAATATGCAACTGCTTTGGAATGGGGAACTAACTGAAGTGTTTAAGCCTACAAGGGGCCTAAGGCAAGGGGACCCACTTTCGCCTTTCTTATTTGTCCTTTGTATGGAACGACTTTCTCATTTAATCATGGAGTTGGTTGAGAAGGGAGAATGGAAGCCGTTTCGTACCCGTCCAGGAAGCCCTGTAATCTCGCACTTAATGTTTGCGGACGATCTCCTTCTTTTTGTGGAAGCCTCTCCTCAACAAATGCTGGTTATCAAACGGTGCTTGGATTCTTTCTGCGATGCTTCGGGTCAAAAAGTTAGTAATACTAAGTCCAAGCTCTTTTGTTCGAATGAATGTCCCTCGACATGAAATGACACTTATCAGCACCATGGGAGGCTTTCCTCTTACTACCAATCTTGGCAAATATTTAGGGGTACCTTTGCTTCATGAAAGAGTTACCCGTAGAACTTACCAACCTGTTGTTGACAAAGTGCATAGTAAGTTAAGCGGGTGGAAAGCTGAAAATTTATCTCTCGCTGGTAGAATCACCCTGGTTCAGTCTGTGGCTATGACTATGCCATCTTATGCGATGCAAGCAGCGAAGCTATCTGTAATTACATGTGAAGCAATAGAGAGAGTGTGTCGAAACTTTGTTTGGGGAAATGTTGAAGGTACAAAGAAGATGCACTTGCTTAGTTGGGAGAAGCTTTGCCATCCGAAAAACTGTGGAGGGCTAGGATTTCGTAATCTGAGAGATAGTAACAAAGCTTACCTTATGAAATTGGCTTGGTTCTTAGTTTCGAAACCAACATCACTATGGGTTTCATATATTCGAGATAAATACAATTGTATTGACTTGGTACCGTCTGCTATACCCTCCCGTACTACACATTCTTTATTTTGGAAAGCTCTTAGCAGTGTCTGGAGTGATGTTCTAGAGGGTATGAGATGGGTAGTTGTTAATGGGCGATCGGTTAAATTCTGGAAGGATAACTGGGTTGATGAGGTTGGCCCACTGACCCATTGGATTCTTCCGTCTGCTGCAGCTCCGAACCTAAACTGCACTATTCGTGCTCGATCCTGACCGAACCCGAATCCAATCACCCGACCCGGTCAACGTTTTGGGTCGGATTTGTTGACCCGGGTCGGATCCGACCGACCCGGATTTGTATTATATATATTTTTTATTTTTTTATTTTTTTTTAAAAAATTTTAAATTTTTTTTTCTTTTCCGTATTTAATTTTTTTAAAAAAAATTCTAAATTATGCGATATATCTGAATGTTTTAATTTATTGTTGTATTATTATGCATGTTGTTATAATTGCATAAATTGCCATGTTTAAATTAGACAAACCTATAGGGTTATGCAGTAGTATTTTGCATGTTTTTTTTTACTGTTGTGTTATTATTATGCATGTTTTTAATTAGAATATAATTGCATGATTTTTTTTTTGGTTGTTGTTCCCCTTTTTTTGGGTTAGATAAAAATACAGTACTTTTTTTTTTTTTGGTACCTTTTTTTTTTTATTTAGTTTTTTCTTCTTCCCTCATTAGAAAAAGGACAAAAAAAAAAACCAAATTCAACCAAAAATTTTTTCAAATAAAAAAAAAAAAAAAGAAAAAAAAAAGCCATTAAATTACTAATATATTAAAAAAAAAACACCCTAAATTTAATTTTTCTTTATTAGTAATAGTTTTTTTTCCCCCCCCCCTTTTTTTTTTTTTCTAACCCCCCCACCAAACCCCCTAACCCATTAATTTTAAAAAAAAAACCATATAATTAACAATTAAAAAAATAAAAATTTTATAGTGTTAGAAGAAAAAATATAAGTTAAAATACCCCGTAATACTTACCAACTAAAAAAAACCCCCTCTTTTACCCCCATTAAAAATTGAAAAAAAATAAAAACCGGAAAAAAATAAAAAATTAAAAAAAAAAAAAAAAATATATTATATGTCCATGCAGAGTAACCCAATGACTTGTGAAAACCAAACAATACTATTCTTATGGAGAGAATAGCGCCATTAGATAGATATTATAAATAGCACTTGCCCATTTCAACTTTCGCAATGTCCTTTCCAATTTCCTGAAATCCATTTGCCATCTCCCCCGTAGAACCAACTACCGGCAAAACTTTAGCAAAATTTCCGACCAAGTGTTTGTCACATGACTAATTTGCTCCTTATTTGAAGGGCAAATTTGTCTACATGTATATTGGAATAAGACTCTGAATCCAATGCCTCATCAAGCCCGATGGTCCAAATTTTGTTTTTTTGGTCAGATGATGGTCCAAATTATAAGGGCATATTTATC